ACCCTGGTTTCTGGCTTTGGCAGTAGATGGAGAGTGATGGTTATGCATTGAGATAGGGAGCACAAGGGGAGAAGCTGGTTTGGGTAAGAAGGAGAGATGAGTTTTATTCGGATGAATTGAGTTGGAGGTGCCAGTGGACAACGAGTTGAGACATTCAGTTGGGTGTTTGGGTATACAGCTCTAGGACTCAGGGGAGAGGCTGGAACTAGGGATACATTAGGGAATCATCATCATATAGCTGATGTTTGAAGCCGTAGGGGAGGATGAAGTCATCTTGGGATATCCTGTGTCATGAGGACAGAAGAGTCGAGGTACTCAAGTGACCCTTGGGGTACAGGCAGAAGATAATGAACTCCTACAAGTGTCAGAGGAGCATGGGGAACATGGTAGGGAAAACAGGCATCACATGACAGCAGTCAAGGGAAATTGTGGTAGTGTTTTAGGGGTCTCTGTCTCTCACTTGACTGTAATATCCTTGAGGACATAAACTGGGTCTTATTTTTCTTTGTTTTCTCCTGTCTGCTCCATCCCTACCTTCCGCCAATACAAAGTTTCAATACAATACATATAATAGAGATGTCTGTGAACAAACAAGGGCATGAATGAGTAAATACAATCAAAGCAGGGTCTTTACACTACTTTAGTTCAAACTTTCATTATTGTTCCTCTAATTGGTCTACCTGCATCCATTCTCTAACCTCGCCGCATTGCCACAGCTTCCTCTCTAAAGCACAGATATAGTATCATCACTCCTTTCCTTAAAAATCATCAGTGTGTCTCCACTGCCTGTGAGGAAAATCTCAGCTTGGCCTTTAAGCCCATCCAAACCCAATCCCCAGCCCAGTTTAGCTCCTGTAACACCTGGCTTCTATCCACTGAACTACAGCCACATTGACCACTTTTTGGTCCATAAACATATACAGGGTTCTGTTCCCTTGCATTTCTCTGGATTCCCCCACCTCAGCCACCTGTGTTAGTTCTACCTATCCTTCAGCATTCTATTAAAATCCCACTTAGCCCTGAAGGCCTTTCCAGACCCTCACTGCAATGAATATCTTCTCCTGTTCTTCATTTTACTTTGCACCTGTATTTTATCACTTGCCCTGTACTGTTGTGTTTGTTACATACACCAGCTCCCTACTATCTACTACTTACTCCGTCTCCACACTGGAGTGTGAAGAGGGATTTCTGTCTCAGTGTCATCATCACATGTCCAGCCTTAGCACAGTGTACTAGGTAATTGCTGAACAGTGATGGGTGGATGGGTGGATTGGTGGATGGTAAATCCTTGGGAATACAAGGACCCAGTTCTATATGTTTTTGTTTCTACTCCAGTGCTTT